TGTCAGGGCGGCAGCTGAGCCTCGCCTGGGCGGAGCTTCGGGAGGAGGAGCTTCAGGGGGAGCTGCTGGCCTACAAGGTGCAATGGATTCTGGGAGGGGAGCGACAGGTGAGGTCATTGCTTGGATTGAACAGTCACGTGACGAGCCTGTGTGCACGGACGGAGCCTCCGGACTGAATGACGGATGACAATTGAACAGTGTCCAAGTCGTCTGTCCGATTATTGATTAAAGGAGTGATTGATTCAGGTCATTGCTTGGATTGAACAGTCACGTGACGAGCGTGTGTTTGCGTGTGTGCACGGAGCCTCCGGATTGAATGACGGATGACAATTGAACAGTGTCCAAGTCGTCTGTCTGATTATTGATGAAAGGAGTGATCGATAAGTCCGGGATGAATTTTGACATCGTGTGTGTCCTCCAGGAGCCTCTGCTGTTCAAGGTGCCGCGGGCCCGCCTTTCGGGCGGCAGTCGCTTCTTCAACTCTTCTGTGCAGGTCTCGGCCTGCACGGCGGTGGGATGCGGACCCTGGAGCACCCCCGTTGTGGTCCTGCCCACTGCGGGTGTGTTTGCAACTGGCCCACTGGTATGCTAACGACACAAAAGCACGTTCCAGTCACGCTAACGAAGGTGTTTTTTTTTTTTGTTTTGTTTTTTTGACCATGCAGGCGCCTTGGCGGTACCTGCAGGCGCCCCCACAGAACGCACCCACATTTGGGTGGGCGTCCTCTTCGCCCTTCTGGCGCTGACCGTGTTGGCGCTGCTTTTTTCCACCTTTGCTCGGAGACGCGGGAAGGAAACGCACTTTGGGTACGGGACGTCGTCACAATACGGAGTCCACCTTGTCCGTGTGTATGTGAGATGTTGTTGCTTCCAACCTCCGCTGTCTTCAGTTGGGTTTTCTCACCCGACGGCGCCGACACTGCGGTCTCCTTCTCGGCCGCTCGCTCCTTCAACCGAAGCGCCGGGGACCAGCTCGTTTCGACACGTGAGTTCGGCGGTAGGAATGTTCCAAAGCTACTTTTTATTGGACTGCAGAGTCAGCGAGACGGTTGGTCGAAAGCAAGGACGAGTCTGAAATTCGCAATCATTCACTTGTTGCCAACTCCATCATTGCTACAGAGGGAACTATCGAGCTCCAATCGATTAAAAATTCCGTTCGCTTCATTGTTGATCAGATGAACTATTTTGGAGAACCATTTTTCCCCCCCAACGGTTGTCATTTTAGCCACGCCCACTACGAGGTTAATTGAGTTATAGGCGCTCAGACGCACTCCCGTTGTGTGTGTGTGTCTCCCTCTAGTGGACAGTCTGGGTATCAGCGAGGAGCTCAACAACAAACTGAAGGACGTTCTCATCCCAGAGAGGCTGCTGGTACTCGGACACATGCTGGGCAAAGGTGACGTCACGCGGTCACGCGACAACCTGTTCATTTGCCGGTCGCCCCCGTCGCCGGCAAGTCGGCTGACGGCGCCCGCGTTTGTGTTTAGGCGAGTTCGGGTCGGTGCGCGAGGCCTTCCTGAAGACGGACGGCTGCCCGGCCCGGAAGGTGGCGGTCAAGGTTCTGAAATGTGAGTTTGCCCCGCCCCCGCGCGGCTCGCCTTCAAACCTCGCACCCTGATGACGTTCACCCCGCGGGCGCGCGTCCAGCTGACATCACCTCGTCGGATGACATTGAGCAGTGTCTGAAGGAGGCGGCCCGCATGAAGGACTTCCGCCACCCCAACGTCATCCAGCTTATCGGTAAAAACGGCCCCCGTCGCGCTACCAAAGTCCGCCGTCTTTTGACGGACGCTGCGCTCGCGCCGACAGGAGTGAGCCTGCACCGGCGTCACGCCCAGCGTTTGCCCGTCCCCATGGTGGTCTTGCCCTTCATGAAGCACGGAGACCTGCACACGTTCCTGCTCCTGTCCAGACTGGGAGAGCAGCCCTTCGTACGTCCCATCGGCGCAGCCGCATCGCCGCAGTTTGGCTCGACCGCGCCGCGCCGTCACGACTTCACTCATGCCTTCACCCTTTCTCGCTGCTCACTACGCTGCGATTGCGTCACAACTTGAACGCGGGGCCGCCGATGCGGAGGAAGCGTCTTTCACTGGCCGACACGTTTAAACGCACTCGCAAAGTAGATATTCGCGCTCACACACATTGAAACATGTTGGAATGTCTTTGCAAGAACCGGCGAACGGAAAATTTCCCCCATCATGCCACAGGGTTAACTTTTGCACACGGTCGGGGAAAAAAAAAATGCTTGTATGATAGCAATCTATCAAAAAGTCAAGAGACGTTTTCTTCTCATCGTGCCACCCACGGGGGATGAGAACGGGGGCTTAAAAATGCTTTGTTTTGATCATTTCGCCTCCCAAGTCCGTTCGAACGTGGCTGCATGTTTGCTCGCCCGAAATGTTGACTCCACCTTGGCAGCTCCACACTTGCGCGGTCACCCTCGATGCATCGCAAGTCGACTCAACTGTATTTTTAGAGCGCTTTCAGACAGCTTACTTAACGCAGTAACTTAACAACTCACCCGGCCGTCAGCACCGGCGCGTCGCCGCCTCTGCACGAACTGGCGCTTGCGCTCGATGTCCGCCTTTTTCCCCGTCAGGACTTGTCCACGCGCGTGCTGGTCCAGTTCATGTTGGACGTGGCGCGGGGGATGGAATACCTGAGCGGTCGCAATATCATCCACAGAGACCTGGCGGCCCGCAACTGCATGTCAGTCCCCCGTCGTCGCGCTTCCCTTCGTCGTCCCCGCGCCTTTGGTCGCACACCTCGGCCGCGGCCGCCGGACGATCGGCGTGACGTGTCGCTCTGCTCTGCGTCAGGCTGGATGAGAACATGGCGGTGTGCGTGGCAGACTTCGGTCTCTCCAAGAAAATCTACTCGGGAGATTATTACCGGCAAGGATCCGTCTCCAAGCTTCCCGTCAAGTGGATCGCTTTGGAAAGCCTGGCCGATAACGTCTACACCACGCAGAGCGACGTGGTACTACACACACACACACACACACAGACACACATTTTGTGATTCATCCCACAATGCATCTTGGGAAGAGTGCACCACTCCTGGTCACGAGAGAGCAATATATATATCCATGATTTGTGAAAATATCTTTTAATAGCGCGACACACCACAACAAGAAGGCACATAAAGAACAAAAACGCGCGATGGCGTTCTTGGAGCACACGTTTTCGTGCCAAGAAAATGTTGAAAAATGTCCCGCGGTGGAACGGCTTTTGGTTGACGGTGATCCGGCGCGTGTCATCATCATCGTCATGCGGCAGTTATCTCATTGACGGTGCCCATTGAAGCGTTGCCAAACTCTTTTTCATTTTGTGCATTTGCACATCCACTACACTTGATGGCAGTGGCGCTTAGTTTTTTTTTGGGGGGGGTCATTTCAAATCTTTTCTTTTACTGACCAACATCAAAAAATACACTATTCTTTGTTAAAAGTTGACCTCCATTTGTTTTTCCTTTGTTTTCATGGGTACAGCGTTACGCAGAGGTGCATTTATAACAATTTCTGAGAGTATTTCTAGTAGCGATGGCACAATGTTTTCATTTTTGGAGGGGAGGTGCCCGTTGGGAGCAACGAAGTCGCACAAACAAACAGGATGTCACCGATTCTTCACTCAATGAAGCAACGTGTGATCGAAACCTGCTTTTGTGTGTGTGTCAGTGGGCTTTTGGCGTCACCATGTGGGAAGTGATGACCCGGGGCCAGACGCCGTATCCCGGCGTGGAGAACTCCGAGATCTACGAGTACCTGATCCGAGGAGAACGTCTGAAGAAACCCGCCGAGTGCAGACAAGACATGTGAGTCCTTCGGGGTGTCGTGTGACGGCTCGGTGATGACATTCATGACGATGAGCGGTGTCACAAGTGACCGCTCAACTGTGACATCACAACAATGTCAGGGGACCCCGCCCGGCTATGACATCAGAGTGATTTTTCAACAATTTCACGTGATCTCTCACTCCTGACCTCGCAATACTCGGCGTCAGTGTTGTGTGACCTCATCTGTGACATCCTAACAATGTCATGCGACCTCAGCGATGTTGCAGCTGTCACCTAAACCTGCGATGAGCTAAATCAAGTTTGCCATCACCGCTCGGTGAGGTCACGCGACGTCGTAAGCGATGTCATAGCCCACGTTATCACGGCCGCATGCTCTCTCGGCGATGTCATGTGACTCCAGAGTATTGTGACAATGATGTCATGTGACCTCTCAGCTACGACGTGATGCACAGCTGCTGGAGTCCGGTGCCCAAATGTCGGCCCGCTTTCCAGCACCTGGCGGTCCTGCTGGAGGAGCTGCGGCTTAGCTTTTCGCCCGCCGCCCCGCGCAAGGAGTCCTTGCACTACGTCAACCTGGAGGGGGAAGGCCCGGAGGACAGGGGGGCAAGCGGGGCACCCGGCCCACAAAAGGGCGACGGCTTAAGCGTCCCCTGGAGGCGGGGCTCCGAGGACGAGGAGCAGGACTGGCTGATGGTGGCGTCCGGCGCCGCGCTGGCTATCGGAGGCGGCGGAGACTACAGGTACATCGCGGACCCCTGCGGAGACGCCCGAGTGGGCCAGGAGCCGGGTGCGGACGGACTGGAAGAGGAGGACGACGCAGTTGTTCACGTGTGAACGGACTGGATAGCACTTGAGACACTTTGCACACTTGCCTTGGCACTTTTTAACTGGCTTGTTCATGTCAATGTTTTACTGTGACTAATTAAAAATTCTTATTTCTAACAGCTTCGTAAGGCAGGGTCGCTGATGTCAAACGGAGGGAAAACATCACATCAACATCTGCCAAGGTTGAGCGGCGAGCATCACATTGTGCAATCACTAAAGCGCCCTGACAACAAGGCAATAGATGGCATTTGAGGGACGCGATAAACGCCCATGGAGCAAAACACCACCATTTTGGATTGCAAAGGCTTTATTGAGGTTCAAACGACAACATTAGTTGCTCCTTTAAAAAAAAAAAAAAAAAATTGTTTTGCTTCTTGTTTGACCTTAGGTGAGCTAGCATGCTGCTTCAGGGACATCCTATGAGATCAGGACCTCATTTTAATTCTGGACACAATAGTCATGACTTCTTAAATTCTCCAGATTGGTTGTAGTTGTTTTGCAACAATTATGCTTAAAAAAAAAAAAGTGCAGCCCATTGTTAGCTGGAACTTGTTCGCCCGAGTTTAGGCAATCAACTGGCACCAACTTGCCTGCAATGCTAAGCTAGCGGTTGATGCTAGCACACGCTCGCCTGCGCTTATGCTAAATTAGCATTTTCGACAAGTTTGGAGTCAAACTACTGATACCGGCTTGACCGCAACGCTAAGCTCGTAGTCACTGCTAACACAGGCTCGGAGTGTCTCAAAGCTGCTGCATTTGACAACCATCCGACTTTAAAGGAAGTTATTTTTGTCTTCCTCCTCCTGGAGGGTGTGCTATCCTTAAAGTTTTTTCCCCCAATATCTGCGCTCAAAAGACTAGATGTCCTAACACCATATTCAAGATGCTAACATGTAGCATGGGGGAAGTGTTGTCGTACTGAAACCACAAAATCTTGCTCTCGACGCTGCCAAGCGGAACACCAAATTTATTTGCGCTCACCAATAAGTGGCGGGGCCGGAGCAAGGAATTTTTCGGCGGGATGGCGCAACGCCTCGGTGAGGGGGCGGCTGGCCACGCGTGTGCGTACCATCCGCAGTCCGGCGGGATGGCGCAACGCCTCGGTGAGGGGGCGGCCAGGGGTGGCTGGCCACGCGTGTGCGTACCATCCGCAGTCAAGTTTGATGAAATCAAATTCACACGTTCCCGTAACGAAGCCCCTCGAGCGCATCGTGGGGCAGGAACAAGCCGAATTTACACGGCGCCATTTTCTTTGAAGTTGCTTTTCTTCGGCGGACCACTTCACACAGATTGTGTGATAAGGACTGGTTGGCCTACAATGGTGTGAAGTAGCTCTGTTTTTAAAGGGTTGGGTGACTCCCGATTTAGTCTTTGAGCAACCATACTCAACACAGCAACAAAGAAGAACCAAATGACACTGGCAAATTTTTGCCGCACACTAAGCGTTTGAATGCAGCGCAGCTAATTATGCACTGCAGTGGAAAAAAACAAGACCGCAGAGGACATCTTTTGAGAGGCTTTTGCACGGAACCAATTCCAGGGTCACTGACGGCACTCGTGTATTTACTTGAAACGTTGATACATTTTGGAACACTGTATTTTAAAAGCAACCAGTTGCGGGTGTACCCCGCCTACTTCCCCGAAGTCAACTGGGATAGGCCCCAGCACGGACGCGACTCTCGTGAGGATTAAGCAGTTCAGATGGATGGATATGTTTTTGAACCTCTATTCCAACCATTTCAATTCATTTTAACAATGACTCCATAAATTAACACCATATTATATTTTACTGTGTTGGTGCTCGTGTAAAAACGACTCTCCTAAAACTAAAAATACTGATTCCACTTCTTTTTCATGTGTCGTCTTTCACAGAGCCCATTTTGACAAAGTACAGATCCCAGTTTTTAAATATAGCGAGTAACTATAAACAGTTATCCGTTTAATAAAATACTGAAGTAGGTTACCCATTTGTACGTAATTACTTCGCTCCACTGCCGTACCCTTGGACGAAAAAAAAATAGTGCCGCCATTTTGTGCCCGGTAACGCCTGTTACTCAAATTCGGCGTCGTTAGCCCAGCACTGTACAGTATACGCAGTCGTAGTTGTAATACTACACGTCGTCGCAGTTGACCACACACCGCTACGCGCGTTGTTGCACCATCTGAAACCCGTCGTTATGTTACCACGACTCCGATGAGTCGTTGTTGTGTTACGACACGTCGTAGTTGAGTTACTCCAGACTAGTACACGTCCCACTTGGGGGGTCCTACGTTGTTGTTGGGGCTCTCGCCGCAGCACAAACCCTACCGAATTTGTTTCGGGGTCAACGCGGTGCCGTCGGCTGTCGGACGACAACGCTGGGGACGGTGATGACGGTCCCGGTGGAACGACGACGTCGGACCGAAGACGGAGAGGATGCAGGTGGCCGCCGCACGGTGTCAAAATGGCGGCCGGGGAGAGAGCGCAAAAAAAAAAAAAAAACGCGTCGTGACGTAGCGAGTACACGTACGGACCGACCGACCGACTGACTGACCGACCTACAGACGGCAGCACGCTGCTAGCCTAGCCGCGGTCGGGGGAAGCAAGCAAGCAAGATGTTGATGAGACGCGAACAGAGGAGAAACGGCCATCAAATGGATTGAGGTCACGATGTCCGCGCGGTAGAAGCTTTTAACCGTGTGGAAGGTAAACGGAGTGACGTCATGACAACGCATGGTCGTGTTTCGTGGAGGTTGTGCTTCACAGGCCCTGCTAGCATGTTGGCATGCTAGCTTCTCTAACATGCTAGCTGGCTAGTTAGCCGATTATCAGTCCTAGTTGCATGATACCTGGTTAGGCAGTAGGATATGGATGTAAAGCACCATGCAGATAAAAAAATGTAAATAGAGCTTTTATTGTAAAGTTAACTTGTGGTATGTCATATAATATGCAACCAGCCATTTCTAGTTAAGTCACTGTTTGAGCTCAAAATAAAGCACATTTCAAATGTAGATAATGGGTGTGTTGGAAAAAAAATTGGATATGTTTATTTAATACGATGAATTGTCTGCAGCGGGGAAGAGCAATGCGACAAGATTGCCATCAATACCAATTTGTTGATCGAATCGGATGATGGGTTCATGAAAAATGTAGTTTTTCGTGTTTGGTGGGCGGAGGGGAGGGAGCTTTTTTGAAAGAGATGGTTTATTTGTAATAACACCTATAATCTGTTAAAAAAAATAAAATAAACTCACATAAAACAGTAGGCTATAACTTCAGTTTTTCCTCATCATTTCTTCTGGACCCGATTCGTTTCGTCTCCTCCGTGGGGAATCCTTTTTCTGATTGACGAGTTTCAGTTCAAAATTTACACCAAAAAGCTCATATGGGCAAATATTCCGAGCGGTTCGCCAAGATGATGTAGCAAAAATGACATTTTCAAATGACCTCATTTGACCGACAATCGCGACTTAAACAGCGCAAATTATTTTTGAGCAGAGCACACTTTAGGAATCAATTGTTTTTTTAATAAATGGTTTTGTTATGGAGGATTCCAGAAGTCCTCGTTCCATATTTTTTTTCCTGAAGAAAATTCCACAAAGATGCCTTCCACTTGTCACATTTCTAGTGTAAATGTGACTGCGAATGGTTGTCTGGCGACCAGTCCATGGTGTACGATTCCTCAGCAGTGTGTCAACTGGGAATAGACTCCAGTTTACTTGTGAACCTACTGAGGCTAAGTGGTATAGAAAATGGTTGGCTGTTAAGTGAACTTGTTACATGTTAGCAAGCAAGCTACTAGCTGTGTCTAGTCCAGATGCTATTTTGTCTCAAAACGGCGGAGTTTGCACTTCTAGCTAGCCAAGACCTGTCAACGTACTGGGATTAATGTGTGCTGAGCTAATTGGGAGTGTTTCAGGTTCAGCTCATAGAAAAGGCATTTTAAACATTAAGTACAGAATAAACAGTCTCATTTGCATGCTATAACATGTTTACGACGATTGCAACTGTGCAGATTTATGAACAGGTTAGCATTAGAACATTTGTTAGTCACATCATTACGCTTGGTAAAGTACTTTTTTTTGTTGTTTTGTTTTTTTTTTGCAGGATGTTTTTGTGCCCGCTGGTAAAACATACAATATGCTAAATGGTTCCATCCCTTAGACGCGTGGGATGTGTCCATGGCCTCTAAGGCGCAACAGGAAGTGATGGTGTTTGACGACGGCGGGGCGGCCAGCCCTGCAGCTGCGCCCGATGCCGATTATCTGCCTCGTCACTTTGGTCACGCGGGCCGGGGCGTACAAGGCTCAAATGGTTCCAAAGAGGCCACCATGACGGGCGAAGTTGACATGCAGTCAGGACCGTCCTGCAGCAAGCGCGCTCCCAGCAAACCTCCCAGAGGGGCTATCCTGACACCTGAGAGTACTTGCAGAGGCATCCAAGTAACTCTGGACAACAATAACATGTGGAACGAATTCTTTAGGTGTAAAACTGAGATGATACTGACCAAGCAAGGCAGCCGGATGTTTCCATATTGTCGCTTCCGCATCTCTGGTTTGCAGCCATCCGAGAAGTATGTTTTAATGATGGACATTCAGCTGGTAGACCAGAGTCGCTACACGTGGACCGGCAGCAGCTGGCAGATGGCCGGGAAGGCGGAACATCACGTGACAAATTCTCCATTCACGCACCCCGAATCGCCTGCCACAGGTCACCACTGGATGCAGAATCCCGTTTCGTTTTACAAGCTGAAGCTCACCGGCAACGCAGCCGACCAGGAGGGCAATGTCATACTGCACCCAATGCATCGCTATATTCCGCGTTTTCATGTGGTCCAGACGGACAAAGCTGCTAAAGACATTAAGCTGAACGCCTCAAATGTGGCCACGTTCACATTTCAACAGACTGAGTTCATGGCTGTCACTGCCTACCAAAACTGCCAGTTTGCTCAGCTGAAAGTGGACTGCAACCCGTTTGCCAAGGGACTCAGGGAGGATGGTGTCGGTTCACGAGGCCTAAAGCTAAAGTCCAACCAGGATGGAGCTGCAGCAACCGGTCCGCAGCAAGCGCCAAAGAAAAGCTTGAAGTCTCTGCTTGCAAATCACAAAGCTCGTACTTGTCTGGATACTAAATCTTCGGGGGTGACTTGCGTCCAAGAAGCGTCCCCTGGATCTGCACCCAAAGTTGTGAAGAACAGCACCTGGTAAGAGCTTCTTCCCGCGGCGTCTTTTTCAGATCTCTGTTCAAGATAAAGCTGTTATTCTCTGTACGTTTGCCACGACAACACATTGTTTCGTATACTGAGCTTGAGTTTTCTGCCGAGAAGAATGTTGGCTTCCCCCGTCGCCTGCTTCAGATGCTGATTGTGTCACGGAACCGAACCCATTCTGCAAACGAGAATAGAATGTTTCGAGGCTTAGTTGATCTGCTCTGCGGCTAATCGCAGATCAGGTGAAACATTCACGAGATGAACAGGACGTCTTGGTTCTGGTTGATTGACAGGATCGTTACGATTAGATTGTTGTCTTGTTACGACCGGCTTGTAAGTTCTCAATAAATCACCAGTCCTGTTGTTTCCTTTGGCAGCAACTCACAGCCGGCAGAGCAATTAATCGGGGACCTCATTCGAGAGGCGCACATTTCCTTAACGAGATGCAGCGTGGACTCTTTCGGCGCCTCAAAAAGACTGACGGAAACCGACACTACAACTACCGCAGGGAAAGCCACAAGCCAAGATGTTAACAAGTCTCCCAAGTCCCCTCGGGAGCTTCCGCCGCAGGGAACGAGTGGGGCTGTGCAAGGAGCGGTTGTTTCTGAGCCTAAATGTCAGTCCGATGTCCAGCAAATGCCGAGCGTTAAACGGCCCCTTCCTCTGCCGGCCTTGGCTCTGTTCTTGAAAAAACATTCCACTAAGACCAAGACAGCCAAGAGCAAATTGGAATCTTGCGCCACACAAGTTTCCGCAGAGGTTCAAACCGGAACAAGGACCGCTGCGGATAATCAGACGATCAACGCGTTGTCTGGCTCGCAGCCTGAAAAAAACCGGGATCCTACCCCAAGCGAATCAGACACATTGAGCGCAGATGTCTTGAGGAAAGAACATATCTCGAGCCCGTCTTCTAAAGAGACCTTGCCAGATCCAAAACCGTTAGCGACTTGCGATCGCGTGCTGGTGCGTTCAGCTCCTGACCCGGCGAAAGCGCTGTTGGCCAAGGTCGGCGAGCCGCTCGCTAACCACAAGACTCGTACTTGTTCAGCTCTTACTACCTCATCTTTGTCTCCACTGTTGAACACTGAATTAGACGCTCCCGACGTGCCAACCGCCCTCCCCTCAGTGTCCAAGTCTAGTCATTTTCTTCCCGACTCTCCCTGTTCACCATTTGGCTTTGAGTCTCTGTCCCCGGTGAGTTCACCGGAGCCGCTGCCTTCTCTGTCTGTCACCTTTGCAATGGATCTGGACACTGGGTCCTCCAAGCCTCCTGAAAGTTCGCCGCTAAGCAAAGAGTCTGGCCCATCTGTTTTTCAGTGGCATACAGTGTTGCCTCCTGCGGAGCCCTACGTGGACCCTTCCTTTGAAGTGTTCCAGCCCACATCGCAGAGTCTTTCACTGGGGTCCCCCTTGTTGCCTTCCGAAACTCCAGCCAACGATCCATCCCGCTCTCCTGTCCTGATCCGTTCCGATTCCCCAACTGTCGATCCTCTCAGTTTTCAAGAGAGCGAACAGCCTCTGCCTTTCCCGGGAGAACTGTCTCCCCTCGCACTGCCGTTGACCCTGTCACCAACGTTTTCCTCTTTGGACGGTGGCGCTCTGTCCCCGACGCCTTCCATTGCGGACTTAGTGCACTTTTTTTCGACGGAGGAGCATCTCGGAATGGGAGTGGAGTTTCCGAATACCGATTCGCTGACCCCTCCCTGTCCGGCTGATGTTTCTGGGGAAGCTACCGCATCGGCTCCTCTTGCGCACGTCCCAACGATCCCATCCCCAAAACAAATGAAGAGCAAAAGGAAGGCTCGGCGGCGAAAACACGCCGTGTCCGATTTGGAACTGAAGACGGACGACTCTGCCTACATGACCATGAAGCCAAACCTGGAAGAAGTTGAGGAGCAGCTCTTTATCTCGTTCACCTCCAAGGTAGCCGGTGCAGTCACACAACCATGTGTAGTTTGTCACCAAGACGCTTCTTCACTTGCAAGATGTCCCCTCTGGTAACTCACGACTTGGATGAAATGTCCTGGCACCATATAGTGAAGAGTTTATGAGCAGGTCTCCCGTGTATGGACCTCTTGGCTCCGAAGCATAATTCACAACCAAAGTATTTTATCGGTCACCAGTAGGTACGGAGCACTAATTTTCCATCATTCCGAGTCCGTTTTGATCGGCGACAACCTTTATGATCAGATGTAAAGTAATGACCATTGTCAGTCCAGTTCTCACTGACCAAGATGGAGGAAGTCAAGGCACACTCTGACAGATAGTGTTTGACATTTTAGGCCGTTGGAAAAAAAACCCACTCGTACCATTTTGAGTGGTGGGGGGGGCATAAAAAAATATTTTTTTGACCAGCGAAAAGCTACTTCCACTTTCCCCCAATTGCATGGCATGCTCCACACCCGTATGCAGCCAACGTGCCTTTGAAATCGTTTGTCTTTTAATTTGCTGGCCATCCGCAAACATGGACTTGGCCTGACTGACGCCTTTGCCCCTCCCCGCTTAGCATCGCCATTGGCACGCAGCTCCAAGTGGGCGTGTTGTATCACCCCATTTGTATCTGTGTTAATAAAGTAATGAGTCGTAATGAAGTGACGAGTTGCGTAGCGCAATTGGCTGATGATCCTCGGAAAGCTGAGATCATTCTTTTCATTAATGCCAAAATCTCATTTCTGAAATACAACTGGCCCCCTTTTACTACCTTACAATCGGTTCCGTTTCCTCTTCTATGGTGTTTTTAATTATTATTTTTTTTAAGTTGATGTTAGATCAGCTCTTTGTGAGTTTGTTGACACTTAAAGACTGAGCCATGACACATGTCCAAATGGCCATCGACGGCTTCCTTTCAAGTGGCCTGAACTTTGTCGTCTTCAGGCCATGCACTCTAGAAATAAAAACAATGGAGGGGACAAACAACAAAGTAGACATTTTACATTTTAGGAGGCTCTCAAACTTCATATCGCGGAGCCTGAAGAGCAGGAAGCAAACAACCAGCTTGTGTCGTCGCTGGCAGATGTTCACCTGGAGCATCCGACCGAAGATGGCTCCCACGGTAAACCTTCATCTGCTCCGTGCCAATCCACCGGAACAGGCGTGACTCCAGTCCAGCGCTTATTCGTTGTGCTAAGCTCGCAGCTTCCTGTTTTGACTTTTTTTTTTTCCCCCTCCACCAGAAGAGACAATTGCTTCCTTTGAGGAAGTTCTTGTCAAAGACATGAAGATGATGAAGCACCAGCAGATCATCCACCCGGTGCTACAGGAGGGTCAGAATCTCTTTTAATTTTTCTCTCTCCTGAAAGCTGCGCAGTGCAAACAAAGTTGAATTTTCTTGGCCAAATAGCATAATAATGGCATAAAACATTCGCAAATTACCGCTACATTATCGACAAACTCAATTCCAATAAAGGACGCTGTGTTAGGCATACCGAAAAACATAATACCATCATTAGCAAATCATGTTCAACCACTATTTAATGGACTACACTATAAAGACAAGATATTTCATGTTCAAAATGATCAACTTTATTGTTTTGACCAAATAATCCTTAACCATTTAACTTTTATGGCTGCAAGGGTTCCAAAAAGGCCGGGAGCGCGTCATGTAGACCACTGTGTCACATCGCCTTTCCTTTTCACAACATCCAATAAACGCTGGCTGATGAGCTGATCAGCTCAGTCTCAGTCAACCAGCTCTCTTAGTAATCTGCAAAGGTTCGACCGAGGCAAGCGGACCCTTGTTTGTTAAATGTGTTTTTCTTGTTTTTTATGAACTTCCGCAAAAGACGTAAGCGCTTTTGCCGGAAGGCTAACGATTTGGCCACCTTGACTTGAACATGTCCAACGATGCGCTCGTGCTGTGTTGTTCAGTTGGACTGAAGATGAATTTGCTGGACGCCAGTCTCGCCATCGACCTGCAATACTTGGGCGTCCGTCTGCCCATCCCCCCTCCGGGTGTCACCGTGGAGCCCCCTAGCCAGGAGCTGCCGGCGTTACAGGGTGAGTCACGGAGGCGAAGGCGGGATCTCACTGAGCGGCGAATGCTCGCGGGGGGGTGGCGGTTGTTGGATTCGTCTGGCAAATGTCGGCGACATCAGGGGTGGCGACGGTCAACGTCGGAGATGGGTTCCGATAATATGGAAATAAATGACGCGTCACTCATAAAATGGAACAAAAAAAGTTCGTTTCGCGTTGGTGCAGGCAAATTTCTGTCGCAACCTGCGTCACCGTTCTCTTTTGCAATCTGTGTCTTTAAATTCATCCAAACGGGCATTGTAAAATACGGGCTACTCTTCATTGCCTTCCTCCTTGGGCCTCGTTTCCCCTGGCACAATGTCAAATGGGGAGAATGGCTTCGAATATCTCAGTGAGCGGCTAATGCGACGGGCCAATGGGCCGACAAATGGCCCCCTTCCAGGGCGCTTGTGCGAGTGCCCCGGTTAGCACCCGTTCTTTGTTTTTCCACCAGCGAAATTGGCTCTCGCTGAAGCTCTGGTGCTTAAGATGGCCCCAATTATTTGTTGGGCCAGACTCTGGCACCAACTACGTCAGGTCTATCATGACGATGGCAGATGTAGGGGAATGACCCTCTGGACAAACTGTTGAATGGTGAATTCGCATGGATCCTTTGCGGCCAGGAAAAACGTTTGCGAACATGTTTGCGGCCCGGCGGAAGCCCAACATTCGCAATGTTCGCAAACATTCGCAGCACGGTGAGATGATGGGCTTGAGCGATGAGCGCAAAGCGATCGGTACCCTGATTGGCCCCCTGCCAACCGGAACATTTGCCCGGCTGGGAGTGTAAAGCCCTTGTTCACTGCATTGATTTACATCCATCTCTGTGTTTTTCAAGGTGCTTCTGGATCGTTTGTGTCCAGAACTGGAAAGGCTACAGATATGACGCAGATTAAAGGTTGGAGAGAAAAATTCAGCCCATCGGAATCTTCAGAGGCTCTTTCGCCTCCCAAGGCCGAAGGTGACCACACTTTCACGCATGTCTTGTGTGTGCGTTGGTGAATTCGCATGGATCCTTTGCGGCCAGGAAAAACGTTTGCGAACATGTTTGCGGCCCGGCGGAAGCCCAACATTCGCAATGTTCGCAAACATTCGCAGCACGGTGAGATGATGGGCTTGAGCGATGAGCGCAAAGCGATCGGTACCCTGATTGGCCCCCTGCCAACCGGAACATTTGCCCGGCTGGGAGTGTAAAGCCCTTGTTCACTGCATTGATTTACATCCATCTCTGTGTTTTTCAAGGTGCTTCTGGATCGTTTGTGTCCAGAACTGGAAAGGCTACAGATATGACGCAGATTAAAGGTTGGAGAGAAAAATTCAGCCCATCGGAATCTTCAGAGGCTCTTTCGCCTCCCAAGGCCGAAGGTGACCACACTTTCACGCATGTCTTGTGTGTGCGTGTGTGTGTGTGTGTTTGCTTGGGGGGGGCGGCGGCGGGGAGTTGTCTTACATGGAGGTGTGCTATTAGCAGTGTCTGTCAGCTCGGAGCAGACCAAGAAGAACTTGTCGGCGTTCTGCAGCGACATGCTGGATCAGTACCTGGAGAGCGAGGGCAAGCTGATCGACCAGCGCGTGGCCAGTTTCTCTCAGCCGCCGGCGGATTCGCTGCCCGTCTACGAGCTTCCCACCAGCAGCAGCAGCTACGTGCGCACTCTCGGCAGCGTCCTCAAGAAGCAAAGCGCCGCCTCGCCCGCCTCGGACCTCATCACCGGCTTCATCCCGCCCTCCAAGAGAGCCAAAGCCCCGCATAGGCAGAATAAGGCCTCCAGGAAAGTTGAAAGGAAGCCGAAGAGTTCAAAGTCTTGGGCTTTTCCTGGCACCGCAGCATCTTTCCCGCCGTTTCCCAATTTGCCGGATGCCCCCCAGACTCCGGTGCCCCTCGCGGAACCTCCGAAACCAAAGAAAACTCCGCCCGCCGTCTGCCCAATGGCGGGCACGCTGATCTCTTCCCCCGCGCGGTCCCCTCCTCCGGAGAGGTGGAAGAGACTCAAACGGAAGCAGTCGAACGCCGAAGCGGGTGCCGCGGACCTTTCGAGTGTCCTCAAACCGCCGATGACCCGAGGCCTGCTGAGGCAGAAAGACCTGGAGGACGGCGCCATGTGGCGCGGTCATCCTCGCGTCTACATCACGGAGGAGAGGGCCGCCATCTCGCTGACGTCGCTTTTCACCTTGAAGGTACCCGCGCGTGTGTCGGTAATTCACGGGGAGGTTCAAAGTTCTGGGCTCCCGAAACCCCATCGCTACTCAGGGAATAACGCAGGGGAATCATTTATTTTGGTCCGACTGAATATGATCTGTTCATTCGGGCGGAACATAAGCACATTTATTTGAATTGGCTTCAATATTCATCAGCCATTGTTGGCCATTTGTACGTTACAAAGGCTCTGATTTATCCAGAACACTTTTGGCCCGCGGGATGCGCTTTTCTACTCTGAACAAAGGAGCGCCAGAGACCTGGAAATGCTTTACACACATTTACACAACCCCAATTTATCATCAGTTATTTTAATATTGTTTGTTTTTATCGCCGCAGGCGTCCCCATTAGATTAAAAAAAAAAAACACACACACACGCCCAACATAATTCCCAGTGATGATTTCACTCAGGTCACAACTCGCAGGCCTGCAGTTTGAGTACCGCAAGTATGCCGTGTGATATGTTTTTCCCTCATTCGCACTGCGTCTGATTCCCGGCAGGGTTTCGTGAGCGACAACCCCACCGCCCCCATCCAGCTGTCTCGCAGGCCGGAGCCGGCCTGCCTCAACGACTTCTGCCGCCTGGGCTGCGTCTGCTCCGGCTTGGCCCACACGGCCCGGGTCAGCCACTGCGGGCGGCCGCGGTGCATGCTGGGTTGCAGCTGCCTCAAGCAGAAGGTGGTTCTGCTCAAAAACCTGGACGGCTCCGATTCCAGCCCCTCCGGCCACGGCAGCAGCAAAAGGAAGAAGAGGAAGAGGATGAAAATGGCCTACAGTGAGTGCAGCCGGCTCCAAAAGTACCGTGGAACTGTCTACGTGACTAGAAGTACAGATACTACAGACCGCGGTCAAAGTTTCTGATCCAAAAACAAACATAACAGTTTTTTTTTTTTTTTTTTATAAATCAAGTCAATCAAGGATCTTAACTGTGGTTGTCTATGTCTATTTTGGGGTTTTGTTTTGATGTCACGTCATCATCTGATGAGGTTGAAAAAAGTAAGGCGTCAAAAGTATACAGCACAAAACAAACCCGAAAATGTCTGTTCAAATGTAAATGGAAAAAAAATTCTCTGAAAAATAGCATTCAAGTAAAGACACCCTCGTGAAACGCGGTGCCTTTGTACTTGCTTCTCGTCGGTGTCCGTTTGAGCTTCTGCGTTCCCGCTTCAGTACTCAAGGAGGCCGACAGCGTCTCTCAGCCCGCCGAACGCATCCGGACGCTCTGGAAGAGGGACAGCGGGGATTGCGACCTGGAGGCGACCCACGTCCCACAAGCTTCCGCCATGTCCTCCCGCATCGCCTCGTCTGGATTATCGCCCAAGGTGCTTCTCCACCTCACTCCGTTCGGCCTTGATAAACATGCTCGTCAGCGTTCTGGGGTGTCTTTGAGATTTGTTTATTATTCAAGAAGCTAAACACGGCAATATTCGTTTGAACTTGGTGACGCGCAACTCACTCTTGGCCAAGGCGTTCCACTTTCTCCGTTTATTCTGACGTTCATGTTGTCAACGGGTCCCAGACAGTCCTACAGCTCACCTGGGTAGGTGACCCTGTGGGACTCCAATTTGGAGTGCACGCCACTTAGTTGTCTGTTTCAACTGCGAACTTTGAGCTTGGAAACCGTTAAAAGGAATTAGCAAATGAGCGCGTGTAAAATCATCGAATAGTTAAAATTACAATTCACCTTACACCCAGAAAGCCAGAAAGGACGCCGGCAGCTGTGCCCGAGTGAGAAGATTTGTGGGAAAGTCCGGAACAGCGCAGCGGGTGAGTGCTGACTCCATCAAGAATTTGAAGCCACCGAACTTCCGCTGACTCGTCCTCCGTCTTCCCCAGAAGCCATACAGGAAGCCCAAACGTTGCAAGATGAAATATGGCAAAAAACTCCGAACTTTGCATCCCGGTAAGTTCCTCCTGCCTGAGCGGGGTCCGATAAATTTCCGACAAATTAGAAATGTCCGCCAGTCCCAACACCGCTCGCACCCTGACTATTGACGCGAGTTTTCCCGGCGGTCTCGACCTCCTCAGAAGGAACGCCAGCTGAGCCGCCGCCGTCCAGCCCACCTCCGAACCTTCCGGAGGAGTCGAGGGCATCCAGACGTCTGACCATCCTCACCGAGGGTCGCTGGACCTGCGACGAGGACCGCGATCACGTGCTGAAGATGCTGTGCGAGGCCATGGCCCAGGACCGACTGGGAAAACCCTTCTGGGCCCTGAAGTACCAGGTCAATCCCATCAGTCAGACGGTGGAGGACAGCGGCACCATCCACTACAAAGTTCTCATCAGCAGACAAGACGGAGCTCAGCAGGTTGGTGTGGACCCCATGTTGACTGATTGGCAGGGTTGGGAGAAAGTCATATTCGGGCTGAAGTCTGAAAACAACGTGCCGCTGAGCATTCAAAGAGGTGATGACCATCAAATGCAAAAAAGCAAGACTTGTCATGTCGTTGAGGTCTCGGTTAAGTGGACTCTCGAGAGTCCCGTTTTTCCACAAGTCGACGACCTCGGTCACGTGACAGGAGCCCCTCCGCCTTTGTGATCCAAAAACTCTTCTCGTATCTCCTCAGGGCGAGCAAACCCAGCTATCGCTGGAGGCGGAGCCTGTGGAAGCCTGGCAACGCGAGGTCACGGAGGAGGATTTTATGGAGGACTTGCCTCGGGAGCTCGACGAAAATGACACGGACGACGACTCGCCGGCTCTGCCTGAACAGGCGCATACTTGGAGCGAGCAGGCGGACGAGAGCCAGAGCGGCTTCCGGGTGGCTCTGCCCTTCCTGAACGGAGTCTCGGCCGCCGGCTTCCTTTCGGCCAGGAAGAAGCAACCGGGAGGCGGGGACCCCATCCAGGTGAGGCTCAACTTGGTGCACCCGCTTTGCCCGCAGCTCTTCTTCCAGCCTCAGATGCAACCAGCAGGCATGCGCGCTGCTTGAACAAACACAGAAATGGCTCCCTTGTCTCACCAAACGTTTCATGGACTTCTTGGGCAAAGTTTTAGCAAAAAAAAAAAGTACAAAAAGCGAGAGCGTAAACATGAGGGGGTGCGTTTGGAAAGCTTTCTTTTCTCGCAACACTGTCAACGTGGCACAACACACCACCGTTGCCGTCATAATTGACACCCGACTGAGTGATGCTGTAACAGTCGTCGTGATGTCAGAGGCAGAGTAATCAATAGCCCGAGTGATGGATCAACTGGCGTGTGTCTCCAGGTGAATGGGAAAATGTATCCTCTGGCCAAGATCCTGTTGGGCGAAATGGGGGCCCTCCACCCAGCCAACCGCCTGGCAGCGTATTTGACTGGCCGCGTGGCGGCCACCAGGAAGCGGCAAGTTATTCCGACCTTACCCGAGGCCCAGCAGACGTCCTCTCCCCGCCA